CCTCTCGCCGCCCCTGAGCCTCTGGCCCTGTACCCCAGTTCTGTATAAACAAATAAATAAATCTTTAAAAAAAAAATGTTGATAGCTAGCCTAAGAGAATAAGAAATAACAATACATTTTATGGCAGCCAATGTGATTACTAGTTTCCAGAGACATTTTTCAACTTCTAAGATTTATGTTTCGTGGCTACCTTTTTGGTGTAAACTGGAGGGAAAAGACTAAGTATAATACTAGAGTGGAGAGTAGAAAGATTTTTTAAAAATATTTCTTTTCTATTAAGTTTCTACTACATTAACAAAAACATAACTGTGATCTACCGCAAAATTGGTTATCCTTTGAAAATTGGAATAAATGGCTGTCAAAAAGATAAACAAGATAGGAAAAGCAGGCAAAAAAGACATAATGGAAACATAAAATTGGAAAGGTAGGTGGCATTTCATTTTCAAGTTCAGTTACCTGCATCAATATTTGGAAACAGAATTAGAGTCCGCTTGTTAAATGAGATAAGTGCATCCAATGTTAGTTCAAACATTTTTATGGAATGCTTGATGTCAGTGGTCACAGGGTGCTGTAGCGCAACAATGTAATCTTTAGATTTTGCATCATCACCTGTTTAAAGAAAATCAAAACAAATTATTTACTAGTTAAACATCTTAAATGAGTAAGAACCAAATTCCAAAAAGCAAACCCTAAAGCCTGTGCTTTAAAAAAGCAAGTTTGGGCCCTCACTGGTGGCACAGTGGGTTGGACCACAGCTGCAAGCTGGCCACAGCCGCTTCAGTGAGATTTCTATCCCCTGCCCTGGAGGTGACCCACATGGCACAGAGGACATCTCCTGTCTCGCCTGCTGCTCCCCTTAGCAATGTACTTCGTTGATCTTCCTGTCCTGCTCTCCACTCTGTCTCTGGTGAATCGTCTTACCCCCTGCACCTCTGGCCTGTACCCCAGTTCTGTATCCATAAATAAAAAATTTTTTTTCTTAAATTTTGTCTCAATTTTGTCATAGTTTTCCACAGCTAAATGCAAAGAAACCTAGTAAAAGTTGGGCAACCAAATTGGGATCAAATAAAAACTTAAGAGCAACAAGTCCCAAAGATTTGGGAAAAAAAATCAACAATTTAAAAAGGTGCTTATTATCATGAATACAAAATCTAACTTTAAATAGCAGAAACTAGAATCATTGTTTTTGTTTTAAAATCCAAAGCATTTCAAAACATTACAAAAACGTGAATCTTCCTGGGCCTTCCCTGGTAGCTAACGGGCTGAAGTACAGCACTATGAGGCTCCTGAAGCCACTGAAGCCAAGTTTGATTCCCAGCCAGGGAGGGCACCTACATGGCATGGCAGACCTCTTCTGACCCGCCCACTGCTCCTCTAAGCACTGTGTATCAGTTAATCTGCCTGTTCTGCTCTCCACTGTCTCTGGTGAATCCTCTCACGGCCCCAGCACCTCTTGCCTGTACCCATTCTTGTATGCATAAATAAATCTTTAAAAAAACAAACAAACAAACAAAAAAACCCGTGAATCTTCCCAATTTCTAACTAGTGTTTTAATCAGCAATATTGATATGTTACCAATCAGAGTGTACAGGAATTAGATAAAGGGCATTAAACATATTTCCTGTAATGCATAGGAGCTTCCCTATCACATCACCTATCAGGTACAACAAATGGCAGATGTTTCTAACTCTATTTAAAGGATAGGAAGTCTTCACTCATCCCCAGGCTGGGACCTCAAGAATACTTCCTCAGCAAAAATTCCTAGGGCTGTGCCAAATAACACAAAACTTATCAACAGGGCCTACAGTATTCCATAAGGCTTGAAAATGAACTCCACTTGCTTATTTTGAATGAAAGAATGTATTTCTTTGTGACTTTAATTTTAATGATCATTTTTATCATGATCTTAAGTTTATCATTAATTTCCAAATTCAACCAGCAACAGAAGTTGTTTTTTATGTTTAACAGTAACAAATTTTTACTAAGAAGTTTCAGTATAATATTTGACTTAAAAGACTAAAACCTCCAAATTTGTATTTTAAAAACATTGAGTATTTTTACCATATGTTCTAAACTGGGAAGGGAGGCATAGAAATATTAAAGTTTTATACACAGAGGGAAAAGATCTAAAGGCTTAAATGAGGATTATCAGAAAGAGAACTTTAGAAAGATGAGATTAATATAATTTCAGATAATCTACTAATATAGTTCAGGGCCAAAGAGAATTAAGAATTTGGAGGAGCGGCAATAAAGGAGCTGTCTTCACTGTAAGGGACATATAAATACCGGGTATGTGCTAGAATATGGTCACAAGTGTAAGTAACTCCTATAAAGTATGCTTCTACAATGTGAATTAGCTCATTCATGACTTATGAAGGAATGATGTCAGTCAGCCTTTAATGTAAGTATGTTACTCATTCATGATTCCCCAAGGCTAAATGCAAGAGCCCTAATGTAAGTATATACAAGCTGTGGAGAAATACAGTATTGCCAGAAGGCTGCTTCAACCCACATTCTTTCTCTTGGTTTAGTCTGCACCCATACTGTGAGAACCCATTTAAGGCAAATCTTTTTGTCCTTTTTTTGGGTAGCACTTTTCTTTAAGAATGAAAATATTAGGGTGTTCTGCAGTTTTGTGCAGAGGATCATCTTTACAACTCATTAATTTACTGCTAAAGAGCAAGTGAAAGGTGAGGAACAAGAAAAATTCCAGATTATCCCATGAAAGCTTTCCAACATCCCATTTATCTCTATATTGTTATTTAAACATTTATAATAGGTAGAAAATAGCCATATAATGCAGAACACAGCAAAATTGAGCATTGTAACTTAAGGTTCTATATGGATCCCATCACACAGTTTCTTTATAAATGAGTGACAAGATAGTTAAAACTAGATTTCTTTTTTAAGACAGTGAAAAAGAAAGCACAGAGCAATAAGATGGCTCTACCCATCTCTGGCAATAATAGTTTTTTTTTTAATTTATTTATTTACTTATGCATAGAAGAATGGTGGTGTTGGCAAGAAGTAGGTGGGTGAGAGGATTCATCAGAGACAGAGTAGGAGCAATACAAACAGACTGACTGAGATATGCTGCTGAGGAGAGCAGTGGGTGAGACAGGAGAGGTCTGCTGTGCCATGTGGCTTAGCTCCATGACTGGGGATAGAGCTTAGGCTGCAGTAGCGATAGAATGATAGTGCACAGACTTAATCCCTAGGCCACCAGGGAGTCCTCGAGTAATATATTTTGTAGAAAGCCTTTACCTACTTCTCAGTGGGCAATTTCCAATACTCATTCTGTCTTGGTCTCCAATCACTTTGGTTACCTAATAGCCAAATCAATTTACTATTCTTAATTTGATTACTCAAAGGTTGTCCCTGTTAAAAAGTACATAAATAGAAGATTAACCCTGACTTACCCTCTAGATATTTCACTGTAAGTTAACCACTTGATATTCTGTTTATAAATCTATTTTCTTTTCTTCTGACTAGCAAAAGGTAATTTCCAGGAAGACAGATCGTTAATCATTGAAGATTTCATATCTTCAGGCTTATTTACAGACATCATAAACTCTTATTGAACAACTGTAGCGTTTGCCTTTTTATATGTCAAATTACCTTAAATTAATAATCACTTATGGTCTTACTAACTACTTTAACATTCTCTATCTCACCTAAGTATTACAACAATCCCTTAAAATATAAAAGTAAAAGTTTTCATTATACTAAAAGGTAAAATGCAGAAAAATGAAAACCACCCATAATTCTGCTAGCCAGAATATTGTAAATGATTTGGTGTATATACTTCCTAACCTTTCCATTACGTTACTGTTTTTTAAAACAAGACATATTACACACAATTTTATAGTTTGCTTTTTTCCTTTTTTGCTATCACAGGATCTGACATTCACCCAAAATATTATATTAATGGATTGAAAAAGCACAACGTTGTATAAGTATAGCAAAGATTTAAAAATTCAATCCATTAAGTTTATTTTACAAAAAAATTGAGTCTCAAAGAGTTGAAGTCATACCACAGAGTGAGATCTATAAACTAAATCCTTAGCTTTCTGATTGGTAATGGGATATTCTTATCTTTTGGAAGAACTGACAGAATTCTTCAAAAGAACCGAAAGTTATACAATGCCTTCTGACTACCCCCACCATTAGACTGAATAAAGCTCATACGTACCTAACCACATGCGAATGATGCTCATGTAGTCTTTGTTCTTAGCAGAGAGAAGTTTATCATAGGAAGGGCAGCCTGCCAAAAGGATGCGATCATGGTCCTCACACATGGATATTAGGTGTTGTTCTGCACTTCGAGTGCAGCACACATGATAATGAGCCAGTTTTGTGATGGCGTGTCTGATAGAGTCATCAATGGTCCCACTGACTTCCCCACCTTCAATGTGAAGGATTCGGATGTTCATTAATGCAGCAGATGTAGCCAGAGCCAGGGCATCAAACCTGTCTCCGTGAACAATCATTATATCAGGCTTTAGGCGATTGAGGACATCTGGTAACTTCACTAGGGCCAGGCCCACTGACTCCACCATGGCTGCCTCATCTTCCCCTCTAACAATTGTGTGTAGCCTGGTATTAATGTCAAAGTCATCTTGTTCAATCATGCGATATGTGTTTCTAAAGCAGGGGAGAAATGAAAAATGAAAGCATATTCTTAATTAGAGGGCCAATATGAGAAAATATCTTTTTATCAATCCCACATGGAAAACATTTTCTAAAATTTACTTTTTAAAGTTAAAAAACTGAAGTATAACTTATACTCAAAAATTAAAAAGCACAAATTATATAGACAACTTAATTTTTCTACATGCAGAGCCCTATTGCCAGCATACAGATCAAGACAAAATACCTAGCACCTTGGAATTCTCATTTGTACCTGCCTCAAGTGAGAACCTGGAGGGAGTAATATCTTGGAATATGTTTTTAATTAGGAAAAAAGAAACCAAATTTTATATGGATTATGACTTTTTTTTAAAAAAAATTATGTTTTAAAAGAAATGCTACTTTTATAGAAGCAAACTCTAAAGAAAATAGGAGGGCACCAGAATATGGGACATGGTACTAATACAATTTCTGAATGATGAGTGTTATATCCTGAATCCTCTGTATAGTATTGTCGGACCTATACTGAATCAAAGAGATTGCATCTTATTTCTGAGTTACCATTTTGAGACTTCTAGGTGGAAAGTAAGCAGCCTAACTCAACTATCAGTGACTATGAAAGAATGCATGACCATCCCCTCGCCACACACAGATTTTCTCCTCATAAATAAATACACCTTGTTCTCTCCTCATTAATAAGAAGGTTGTCTGCTGATTGTTAAAAAAGATCCCACACTCCAGCTTTCTGCCTAAAACTCCTGTTAAGTAATCCAAATTTCAAACAGACAACTAAACTCAGCTAGCCCACTCCCCTGCTTTATGCTTTTAAACTTCCCTCTGCTGATGACTATTGGCCTCTTACAGCATGGTGCTCATAAAACTATGTGTTTTTCAGGCTATGTGTTTGCAGAAGGGTATATAGAAAACCATTGGACCTTTTGCTCAAGCTTGCTATAGAACCAAAACTGTTTAAAAATTAGTTACTTAAAAAGGTATTCTTTTACATTTACCCTTACTAGTCATTCATTCCTACAGACTTTATTTCCAAGTATCATTTTTCTTCAGTTTAAAGAATTTACCTTAGCATTTTTTTTGTAGTGCATACCTGCTGGTTATCAATTACTGAAAATATCTTCAATTTTTTTTTTGGCATTATATATATATATATATGTATATATGTTTATTTTTACATCATTTTGTGCATTTTTCCATTCATTTGTAATCTCCTTGGGCTTCCCATCACCAAATCACCCATGTGCCATCACCATAGTCCAGTGCATCTCTCCCCCCGCTGTTTTTGATCCCATTCCCCACTCCACCCCCACAAAATGTCTCTGGTATATAGCTGTTCATCATTATCATTATTGAAAATATCTTCAATTATTTTTAGAAGATATTTTCATCAGGTAAAAAATTCTGGGCTAAAAAGGGTTCATGTTTTTCTTTTAGTATATTAAAAGATGTTCCAGTATCTTCAGGCCTCTGCTTCAGAAGGTAAGTTATTCGTATCATTGTTGCTTTAACAGAAATGTCATTTTCTGTATTGCCACCTTCAATAAATTCTTTTGTTTTCAGTAGTTTTAACTATGCAGCTGTGCACTTATTTGTTGGGAGTTGTTGCCCTTCTTGAATCTGTACAGTGAAGTTTTTCAATGAATTTGGAGAACTCTGGCCAGTATTATAAGATTTTTCTATATTTCCTAAGATAGCAATGAAATGTATTTTAGATTGTTATTGATGTTGTCCTAGAGGTCACTGAAGCTGTTTATAATTTTTGCCTATCCTGTTATTTACCTAAGTAATGTCTATTGATCTGTCTTAAAGTCCACTGACCTGCCCTCTTCTTTAGCATCTGCATCAGGCGAAATTTTTCTTGCATATATTACACTTTTCAGTTTTAGAATTATTTGGTTCTTCATTAAAATTTCTGTTGAAAGTAGATGCTCACAGTCCTTGTCTGCTGATCCCAACATCTGGGCCATCTCTTTTTGATCTGTTCCCATTGACTCTTTTTCTTTTAATGTTGGGTGAAATTTTCCTGTTTCTTCACTTACCTATTAATTTGTGATTTTATAATAAGCATCGTGAATAGTATAGAGGCTCAGGTTCTGTACCTTCCTATGAACACTTGATTTTTTTTAAAACGATTTTTATTTATGCATACAGAAATGGGGTACATACAGGCCAGAGGTGCAGGAGCAGCAAGAGGATTCACCAGAAACAGAATGGGGAGCAGAACAGGTAGATCAACAAAATACATTACTGAGGGAAGCAGCAGGTGAGACAGGAGAGGTCTGCTGCACCATGTGGATCACATCTGGGGTGGGGATCGAACTCACACTGAAGTGGCCATGGCTTGGCTTAGCTTTGCAGTACAGCACCAACCCACTGTGTCACCAGGGAGGGCCCAAAGACTTGATTTTTTAACAAATGGGAAATTAAATTACTGGCTGAGCACCTTGTAAAAACTCAGCTTAACACTTCATTAGAGTGACTCAGTTTTGTTCTTAAAGAGAAAATGGAATATAGGTTTTATTCATAAAGCGTGGCCCTCTGGGGTTTCAGTGAAAAATCTGAGGTTTTTACTAATCCCCTCTAACCTGGTATGTCTCAGATTCTCCCCTGATGCGGATAGCAGATGAAACAACTCAGTTTCTTCAGTCTCCAGTTGTTTTCTACTAAGCTATTTTGAGTCCCCCATGTTGGTATAATTCAGAGGTCCACCAAGAACTTGAGAAGAATTTAGATACATATTTATAGTCCGGGGCTGTTCAGTGGCTCCTCCATTTCACAGGTTTTCCCCCCAGTCCCACGATTTCCAGATGCTGAGCAGCCTGGCATTTTCTAGAACTCAACCTAAACAACAATGGCTTTCTGCTTGAGTTCTAGATAATCTATCTATACCATGTGGACTTGCAGCAGGTACTTGTAGGAAGAACTCCTTGGAAACATGGATCTCACCTACTACATTCACTTCTAGGATCAAACTCCATCCAGTTTCTGCTCTAATGCCTTCAAACAAGTTTTAAAAATATTTTGGCATAAGTTTTAAGGATTAGCTGTGGGAGAGTTAGTGATATACAGGCTGCTCTGTCATCACTAAATTCTGAGCTTCTTTTTCTTAAAGTATCTTATACTTTCTGCTATATATTATACAGTAGCTCTGTTACTCATGTTTCTCCTTATAATAGCAGCACCTAAAGTCATACATTTATTCTAATTGAAAACTAATAGGTCGGGCCCTC